GGTCCGGTCGTCGTGTCGTGTAAGAAAGGTTTAGGGTAAGTTACTATCGTCTTCGTATAATAATATCTCTCGTTATATATACTAAATTAACAAGACATACTAGTTAGTTATATATATATATATATATATATATATATATTTATATAATGATAGTTATATGTAGAAGCATTCTAATTTTTACACTGTAGCCATATGATTCTAATTATATGTTGGAAGCCCAGAAAAACAGTCACATTTAGAACAAATCAATAATTCACATAATACAATAATAATTATAATTTTTAGGATAACTTGTACTTAAGGTTTAATGATATTTTGAGTTGTCAAATGCATTGCTATGTACAAACAACATTCACCTTAGTTTATCCTGCTATGTACAAACAGCGTTCGTGTCAACTTATCTTTCTATGTACAAATAAAGTTCATATTAACTTATCCTGCTATGTACAAACAACGTCAACGTTAGCTTATCCTGCTATGTACAAACAACGTCAACGTTAGTTTATCCTGCTGTGTACAAACACCATTCACCTTAGTTTATCCTGCTATGTACAAACAACATTCACCTTAGTTTATCCTGCTGTGTACAAACAACATTCACCTTAGTTTATCCTACTATGTACAAACAACATTCACTTTAGTTTATCCTGCTATGTACAAACAACATTCACCTTAGTTTATCCTGCTGTGTACAAACAACATTCACCTTAGTTTATCCTGCTATGTACAAACAACATTCACCTTAGTTTATCCTGCTGTGTACAAACAACATTCACCTTAGTTTATCCTGCTATGTACAAACAGCGTTCGTGTCAGCTTATCTTTCTATGTACAAATAACGTTCATATTAACTTATCCTGCCATGCACAAACACTTAATGTTAGCTTATCCTGCTATGTACAAACAACGTCAATGTTAGCTTATCCTGCTATGTACGAACAACGTTCATGTTAGCTTAGCCTGTTATGTACAAACAACGTTCGTGTTAGCTTATCCTGTTATGTACAAACAACGTCCAAAGTAGCTTATCTAGTGCAGCTATGTACACGTTCATTTTGATTATTACTGTATTAGAAGGATTTAAAACGGAAAGAAAGGAAAACAATTTAAAAAAATATAATTGTCTTGAACATTATAGCATTACTCACAGTAAAATATGATTGTCTTGAACATTATAGCATTACTCACGGTGAAATATAATTGTCTTGAACATTATAGCATTACTCACAGTGAAATGTAATTGTCTTGAACACTATAGCATTACTCACAGTGAAATATAATTGTCTTGAACATTATAGCATTACTCACAGTGAAATATAATTGTCTTGAACATTATAGCATTACTCACAGTGAAATATAATTGTCTTGAACATTATAGCATTACTCACAGTGAAATATAATTGTCTTGAACATTATAGCATTACTCACAGTAAAATATGATTGTCTTGAACATTATAGCATTACTCACAGTGAAAATATATTTGTCTTGAACATTATAGCATTACTCACAGTGAAATATATTTGTCTTGAACATTATAGCATTACTCAAAGTGAAATATAATTGTCTTGAACATTATAGCATTACTCACAGTGAAATATAATTGTCTTGAACATTATAGCATTACTCACAGTGAAATATAATTGTCTTGAACATTATAGCATTACTCGCAGTGAAATATAATTGTCTTGAACATTATAGCATTACTCACAGTGAAATATAATTGTCTTGAACATTATAGCATTAATCGCAGTGAAATATAATTGTCTTGAACATTATAACATTACTCTACAGTGAAATATAATTGTCTTGAACACTATAG